GCCGGTGACGTACCATTCCGTATGGTAGCCTTATAGTGTGTTTGATTGTCGTGTTTTGCAACAGTGATTTAGGAGTTTGATATCTGAATAGACTAAGGCTCGATGCTTAGCCTGAATAATAGGCTAAGAATGGGGTCGGCAGTTCGTGCGACGAAAAATGAAACGTAGCGACAATGAAAATACAGTTATGAGCAAAAGTAAAAATATATTCATCAAAAAGGACAAAAATGTTCGTGCCATAACGACATAGCTGTTAACGTCGGTCATACTTTCTGTCTGTCCTGTATGTCCCTTGATGAGATCGGTAGGAACCCTTTTGGCCAACACGAGCTTAGCTGCCTAAAGAGGAGTCGGGGACGGCGTGGCCTAAGTAGCTAATGCGCATCTCTGCGAATGCGTTATCATGCAACTTATAAGCAAAAAACATGCTACAACGGTGTTTCAAATTTTAACCTTGGAAAGATTTTCCAGATATTAATAACCTGGAAAATAAGATGTTACTAAGATTAACAGCTGGTTGTATGGTTGCTATACCGTTTCATAGTATTATAGGGAAAATTCCAAGTAAATCCAGCAGAATCACTCTTGTGCGACTCTTAATGAGGGCTAGTCCCTGATGTTCTACCTAAAGAAGGTGATTCCGAAGACTTGTTCGCAGAGGATTAACAAATTTGAGAAGTGCAAAGGTTCAACGTCGTTCTATATGCACAGGTAAAGGACATGTTTGCCGGTCGACCCAAAGGACATCAAGTGGCTAAACAGCATTATTAAGAAAAGCGGTTCCTACGTATATCACGATGTATTCCCCGGCCTGGCTAATCTTTCAATTCAAGTTATTAACCAGTTAATTGAAGGAAAAATTCTATTGCTCCGGTATATAATCTGTGTCGAGTTCAGCTTATGTGCATCAGTTACACAATTCTTGTGGTTGGTACACTTCGCTGCCCACGAAAGTAAACACCACATCCTCCTCACATTCGCGTTCATGCTGTTCCGTAACTCAGACGTCGATTGCCTTTTGTTTAGGTTGAGGAACGTCGCCGAATTTCCGCTTTTATGTGTAGACGTGCACACGTAGACAGCAAAAGCATCGACGAACCGATTATCGCGTATAGTTGGTTCCTGCCATTGTCAAAAAGGCCGAACCATTTCCAGTCTAAATGTTATCTGTCTGCCAAATATTGACTACTTGTTTGGGTTATACATCGCGATCCCCTTATTACTGTCCAACTGAAGTCCCAAAGAAACTCCGCAGTCAAGACACAGGCCAAACAAAAGGTGGATAATACTCATGCCGTCTTATCCATGTTGACAACACACCGGCCACAAAGCTGCGTAAACGAGCCACGGGTGGACGCTGGCGTAGTGCATAACGCACGGCAAACCAACAAAATCTCGTTTTCTGCATCCAACATGTTCCCTGTTGCTCTCAGAAAAAAGCTAGTCCAGGTCGTACTTCCATATCTATTGCTTCATAATCTCTCTATTAACGAAAGGAAAGGCGAACTTGCTAAAGAGGAAAGTACTGGATAATATGCTTGGTAAAGAGGGCGCATCTTCCGTTCGCTAAGAGGGAACCCATGCACAATCTACCTTACCTACGTCCTTATTTTGCAGAGCATACATCAAAAAGCAATCAATTTCTACAGAAAACCTTAGTAGACGGCACTTCTGCGGTGAACTAGCGAGTGCCGTACAACGAATGTTCTTGGGTAGGCATATTATCCTCTGCATCGGTTAGTTTTGCGTGTAAAGCACACGACTAAGCAGAGATGGGTCTAAGTATTTGCTGCAAATTCGTGTTTAAGCCCGAGATTTCAATCAAATAATCTAATTTTTTTTTGTTTATGGCGTGAGTCAAACTTGCCGCTTGTGTAACGTAGCTGAGCGTATTATACAGTTGCAAATGACCACAATCGATCCGAGAAAATCTTTAGAACAGGATACGATATTACTTATAAATGCCATACGAGTCACCTCACAATACCTAAACCATCAGATGGTATAAGAGCTCGATCATCAGTAGATACAAATATAGTACTACAGTAATAAAATTTACGCTACGAAACGGCGGATTGGCATAATGTGTCCTGTTATTTGTACGACAGAGCTTTGTTCGGATCAGATTATGCAGAAGCCTAGGAACATAGGCGAGCCTTGGGGAATACGAACTAGGCGCAGTTTAGCGCTAAATGGAAGTGTGAAACGTAATAGGAGTTAAACAAAACGCTACAAATACGCTCGTATTGTTGTTAACGGCTACCAATCGATGAAATACATGCTCTTCGAAAGAACGCGGGCCCGGCTTCCATTTTTCACAACAATGTTTCAAAGTAAACAGACAATGACTTGAAATCATCTTTTCAATAATAATATGTATTGGTAATAATCACCTAATTAATAATAATCATCATCTTTATCTATAATCGTGGTTTCTGTGAAGAAAATAACCATACAAAAAATAATGCGAGAACATTTACGTATATGAGCACAGCTTTTGATTTCGTTCGTTCAATACTCAAGGTATACTTTTCTTTGGGGTTGGGGTTGGGGTGGAGGGGTCAAGGCAACTTGCTTTTGTGATAGATCCACTCGTCTCTACGAAACAGCTAGGCGATGGAACATTTTGTAGCGTTATCCTAGCGAACGCCAAGAGTCCTTTTACTGTGTTTATAAGAATAGCTGCTTAAGTTACGACAACTCGTACCTCAAGTTATGTTCTCTTTAGATGTGTATGCGCGAAAAAACAAAACTATAGCGTCAGGTCATGAAAATACTAAAATCACGGATAGCACCTTTACCCTTGCTTTGCTCGATTGGAATTGTAGTATTTTCAGAAAAAAACAGTGCTACAATGTGATGTAGACAAAGCCTAGGTCATTTTGACAACGAATTAAACTGTCAGGTTGGCGGAACCGGCTGGATGTATTACAGCTTCACAGCTAAATGTAGTTGTTACCTCAAGTAAAATCAGTAGAATTAGAGTATTGGTGACCATGCGAAAAAGCTTCTTCGACAGATATCAAATTCTCTACTGGAAGCAACACGTAAACGTAATGGCCTAACGCAATAAGGAATAATCGTCTATAATAATTGAACACGCGACCTGCTTGAGATTGGCTTACGCCTTTGAAAACTATGGGAAGACGGCAGCCGTGACCTATGAATCTTCGAGAAGGACGACTCTCAGCACAGCGTGAACTGGATCTGTCCGTCTTATATCGGTGACCAGTGGCAAATCGAGGCACCAGTAAAGGTCAGACGTATTCGATGAGGCCGCCAACGAAATGTTTCTGCGAATTTTCTGTAAATGAAAAATATGTCGTCTCTCGTGCGTGAAAAAGACCAGTCTATAATGACTGTATGTGAAAAATGTGAGAACTGCGAAAATGCTTCAATACGAAAACGGTTTAATGTTTGATTTCTCACAGAGTACAACGTTGAGCTCCTACATAAATTCGAGCGTATTAAAGATTGAGAATATTAATAGAGTCTAATAAAGCAACAGGTCATCAAAAAAGCAGGCTTAGCTAAACGTTCTCTTACAATGCATTCGTCAATAAATGAGCTATATAAATGAACACAAACTAGAAGATGATCTGTGGCTTCACGCTTTATTATGCTCATGTATAATTTCATAAACGAGTTTGTATTTGAGCGGCACGCTTATCAGTTAACGATTACTCCAAATTATGTATGCTATTTAACGTTACGTTGAATACAATGAATGGCCTTCTTTCCTAGCAACGATTTTAGGCCAGAAAGTGCCACGAATGTTAGTTTTCTTATTGAATCTAAAATAAAAGCTCACATCGTTATAACTTATTGCATCAAAAATGAAAGCTTCTACCCAGCGATGGAACCGCGCTTGCTTATTATGGGACCAAAGGCTTTAAATCGCTTTATTGTTTTTCGTAAGCTTAGTTACCTTTTTATTTTAAGTTAGTTAACTTTTAATTTTATACCCTTACTGTAGTACTCTGACAGCCGCTTCTGAATAGTACATTATCTATTTAACGAATCAAGATTGTAAAGATGCGAGTATAACATGGGCAAGTCAACTGCGTACGTTTTTATAGCTCTAGCGATTATTGCGCTAGGGACACCCTCGTAAGCAGTCATATTTGGCCTCTAAACTTAGAAAGCCACGTATTTGCTATACGATTTACCGTATGTGTATAGGTTTTGATAATTGAACTCCTAAACTGTTCCCATGTGTCGTTTCGATGACAGCTGTTGCAATTTTTCTACCCTTTCTTTAACTTGTAGTACATTATAAGGCTGAAACGGATTTTTCCTTTAGCAGATAAAGAGCTAATTGATGGTTTATTGAGGCTAATTGAGGGATCGACACATTGTCGAACGCTTTGTTTGGGCTTATTCCTTTCTCAATATCTTTGGAGCCAACTGATGCAGTTTAGAGTAAGGCATTAGCATCGACAAGCCCAACATAGTCCAATTAGGCTTATAAAAGAGGGTTTAGTCTAAAATACAAAATTTACGTTGGAAGTGTATTTTTTACCATGTTGCTTAGCTACACTATTGAAACATAAACAAAGAAGGCTCGTCCTAAGATACTGTACACCTATTGCTCCACGGGTATAAAAAGCTCTCACTTTGAATGAGAGTCTTGCAAGTATATAGTATGAATAATCTGTTGTATATAGTATAAAGGAGCACCACACGGCACCACAGAAGCTCAGGTCACGAAAGGAAACTAAATGCGGCTAAACCGATCAAAGCTTTTGCGGGTTTTCCGACACAGACTTCAATTTAAATTTGCTTTTCGACTATAAATGTAATTTAGTAAATTAAAAAATTTTCAGGTACAAGGCCGCATCAATTTGCGTATACCCAACTACGTTAGAACCGGAAATCTGTATATATATATATAACTCTTTTACCTGCGTTCTAATACGATTAGCAATGCCACAACGAACTCAAAGCAACTGGCATTAGTAAGACGAATATCTTAGAAAAGTTTTTTAGTTTAAACTTACTTTATTGGCAACCTGCGCACTTAATCCGTAACCGGGTCCACGGTTGGCCATGATGATATTTTAAGTGCTCGTGTCTCACAGTTTAGTGTATTTCAAGCACTAGTACAGTAAAGCTTTCACTTACGACTAATTTTCGTCTATATTAGTTTTATAATTGTGTTTCTTATATGAACAGGGTTTCGTATCCCGGCTTCCGTTGAGTTCACTGCAGTTGAGCCCAACACGTAAATGACATTGGGCAAAAAATCTAACAGCACTTAGTCACGGGGTATTCTTAATCGTAAGAGGCGTGGTCTTAGATTGTTTTTCTCGTAAGCGACGTTTAATCGGCACCATGAAAAATGACGCATGGGTAGTTTCTTCCAACGGACTGCGTTTCTCGTTGTTTCGGTCGACGCGGCTGGCCAACGGCGCGACCCGGAGAGCCTTTTATACAACCTACATTCGTCTGGCTGCGCCCACTGTAAATGAAAGAGCCAAGACGAGAGAGCAAGATTCAAGCTCTGCCGGCAAAGCAGTCAATGAACACTTTGTCGAAGAGGGCTCCGGCAGCCCCATAGACCCAACATCCGAGCTTTAGGGTAGCGCTCAACAGAAGCCGCTGCTCTAGATAGTAGTTTGTACCACAACTAGCAAAAACCACCATAAGAGTACCAGTGAAGATGAAAATATTCAAAAGAGACCGGTCCTAAACGTTCAGCCTCATTAGGTTCAGTTAATCTAACGTGTATGATGTAATACAACTGACTAACGTTCGGAATAACTCCTAATAAAACACGGCTGGTTCGTACAGATTTTGATATTAAGCCGTGTACTGACTGCACGTAAACGCAGGTGAGTATGATAACAGTATAATTTAGAGAATAAATAATAAGAATACTGCTTTTCCTTGCGAGGATAAATATAGTTGCGTTAGATGACAATTTGAGGTAGTTGGGAACACGTAGCTTAAGATGATGACAGCTTTCACTGTCGGAGGTCGATCAGCAGATAGAAATTCGGAAGGAAATCTGTTCCAGATTGCTTTAAATGCGTTGAAAACGATCAGACTGTATAAGTAACATAGAGTTAATTGAACCTGTCAATCTCGAGCAATCTCTAGCAATAGTACACATTGGAGGCTGAATTTTCTTTTTAGTACTCAGGTTTTTCGCTTGGTTAACAGGTCTCCTTTGTAAGTGCTGAACAGGTGTGCAAGCTAGGAGTAGTTGCTAGCACTTTATGCTGTATAGAAGAGTTCTCTGAAGACAAATACATTTACTGAATACATCGGTCAGTCAGAGATGAAACGGAATATATATGATTTATAAAGTGTTCAACATATGTTGAATCGGCCAGATGCTTTCGATTAACTTTAGCTGTGAATATTTCAAGTATACCCCCTTGCACTTGTCATTTCGTTGAAGCGGGCTTGACCAGTGCATGGACGCCGCCTAAATTTTTTAGGACACGAGGTAGTGATAATTGTCCCTACTTGTAGGAATTTATTAGTAATTTTATTTGTCCGTGTAAACTGTCATCAAAGATGATTTCTAAAAGAATACATCCATTATATTTTTCTGTTCGACATAATTTTCGAGTTTTAAGAAACTTTTTTGAGTTTAAGAAACTTTTCTTTCCAGATTAACTTTGTTAGTAACATATTGAAGTTCAAAAACCGGGCTTTTATAAACAATTTACTTTCAATCAATTTGATATAAAAGAACTGAGACCGTTTGTCCTCTTCGAGAGAGCGAGAGAAGTTCGAAGAGCTTCGTTCGATTGAAGTGAGTATGCTGTGCCTAGCTGATATCATGTCCTGAGTAAACCTCTTAATATTCAGAACGCAACTTTGGGATACATACAAATCGAGCAATATGCACAAACATTAATTCGGTGCAAATAGTCCTCTTACGCATATGCATATGCAAACAAACAGCCTTAATCCAGTGCAGATTTCCTCGTATCAGTTGGCGACTTCGAGGTTCTTCACAGCAAAATTAGCTATTTGAACTGGAGAAGTTCGACCTGGACGTTGTGTAAAAAAAAAGAAGTAACTTTTGTTAAAAGCATCAGCAGAGAGAGAACTGCTATGAGCATATTCTAATTCAGTAAACACATTGCTTCTTTATTAGCTATATACTTAACATATAGCACTTAGTCTGCGCTCGAATTTTTCGGTTTATTGACATATTTCGTCAGCTCGTCCTGGTTGTTTCCCCACAGGCTTTCTGTTCCCTTGCACAAGCGTGGGTTGTCTGAACAATGCTATTAACGCCCACGGTAGGTGCCAATGATTTGAACTACCAGCACTAGCGTCTTAACAACAAGCGTGAGCGATTAGGTAGTGCGCTCAAAATTCGTTGCAGCTTGCTCAATATCCAAATATTCATAGGGGAAAAGTGTAGCAAATGTGTCGAAGTCAACTGGACAGCGAGTGTATTTAGCGCGTTTTAAGGCAAGCAAGGCAATTGATTAGAAATTATCTATCAGAAAGGGTTTTGCCTTACTAACAGCTTATTTCCTGCTTTCAAAGTCGTCGTCCTCTCTTGATTGTGTACTTTGCCTCACACGACCCTCTCTGTAAGCGAATTCTTTGCTCAGCCACTGAAGATGAATTGTTTCGCTGACCTGGCTTGTTTACACGCTTTGGAAAGAACGTTCGGGATTAGAATGATCTCCCTGGCGAAACCTCGTTGGTGCCCGCTTCTTACCACACGAGGTTGTAGGCCGCTGCTGTAACAACAAAGCGGCGAAACAGGATGAAGATACGTGCTAGGACGAGCTATTGCCGTCATAATTATTACAGCACAAGACGGAGAATGACGACAACAATACTGTCGTGTGGCCCTTTACAGTCGTATGCGCATTATGCGACCTTACGGACTGATGTATATGGTAAAGTACCTCCCCAATAACGCTATGTTACTTAGAACTACTTCATTAAACGAATGCGGATTTAGTGACCTGTTGTGACCCAATTCATATATATATATATATACTGTCTAAACCCAAGTTGACGTCAAGAAACATGGGAACGAAGCATAAGGACATGAAAGAAGACGTTTGTAAAACAAGCCAACTTGGAAGTCCATGCAAATTGATCGCTTAGTATTTTGGGTTCTGATTAAGAGAACATTACCATTAAAACAGCTCTTTTAGATACTCTTACGGGTACTGACGTTAATTTTGATTTTGTGCTGAAGATTAGATCTGTCCGGACCGGCAATATGGTTTTTTTAAATCTTTGTCGATATAGTTTGACGTAGTAGAAAAACGATTAATCTGTTCCAATTTCCGTTTTTACTGCATTGTTATATACGTCTGATTAAGTATACCCTTGTAGTCAAGTTATCACATAGGATTGCACGTACCTTGCCGTTTGTGCTAGTTCACTCACTTCCAGTATAAAGTCCAGACAAGGGGTAGGAAACGCCTGATTGGTGTTGGCCGTTACAGTTATACTGAGTGGTCCCCTTTCCCATAGTGCCCTATCTGAAGCACCACCCGCAAAGGGTTGTTGTACCTACCGAACTACGAGTCTAATCAAACTAGAACATAACGATTGTCCTGGAGCTCATCTAGCGTCAACTGTGTGAATATGGAAGGCGGCCTCTGTCGGTCGCCGTTTGCTTTATGTTGGTTCGCGGCCAGCCGGGTTGATCTCGGTATGAGATCAATAGAAGTCCTCTGGCATGCCTAATAATCCAGGTGGTTCTACGCTTGTTGCCAACAATTTCAAGTCTTATTTGAGATTAACTTGATCCCATTAAGTTGAGCTAGCTCCACTGACAGAGGCCGCTATCACCAGCTTTTAACCGCTTTGTCCGTCTAGGACAATGTAAATATCTTTGCACGAGTTTAACTCAAACAGTATTAGTTCAACATTGTCATTTTAGTCCTCCAGACCTGTTGCTGCCCTAAAAGACTAATTAGCCACGATTCGGCTTCTTAAAAAACATTATTTTAAAAATCGTTTGTTTGTTAAGCTAAAACGAATTGTGTATGATCCAAAGCCAGCATTACATGCATTTACTCAAAGCACTTCCCATCAAGTTCTTTTAGATCTTTCCCTGCATACTGCACAAATTTAATTTAAGTAGACACAGTCCCGAAACTTTAAAAAATGCAATAAATTAATACTTCATCGATTCCATGCCTGTAGTGATGCTCCACAATAGGGTCGTGATGAGACATTCAAAAATAATAGGTGCCCCTTCAAACAAGTCGTTTGTAATAGAGCGAACCTCCTTCAGGTGTCTTCAATTTTGCATCATGACTTCAATGACTCTGCACAAAAACAGGATCGCTCGAATTAGTTCAACATTTTAGAATAACAAACTTCCAGGTTCTCTTCTATTAGTACTCGATTAAGCTAAAAATGCACTAATACAGGACTAAAGCTTATAAAAACAGAATACAACTCTGTTACTATTAGAAGTTATGTGCAATTTCAATAGTTTTTTTTTTCAGTTCAGAGTTCCTCTAGGTGTGATAACCTTCACTACTAGCGCCAACTGCAATCGGCGGTATAAAAAGGATTCTGCCCTTAAAACAAATGTACCTGTTTACGCAGTTTTCCAAGTGAAATAAATAGAGTTTATTTTGGAAACTGTTCCAAAAAAGAAAACATAGATTTGCTGCGAGACGTATACTAAGCGCACCTAAAACAACTGTTTAAAGAAAAGACAGCGTATCATTCGGGTCGACGATTCTATATAGGGACGATTCGAGGGACCTAGAAAGATTAGCATTTTCAAAACATATCTGGTAGTTTGAGTGAGCATTTTCCTGACCCTCTACTAATATCGTATATGGATTTAGTAAATTTTGTTAGCTCGATGAATATTTGAAATTGTATAATGCCCTTGTAAATATGTCAAGGCTCTCACCGAGACAAGTAGTTCCGCGTCAAATAGGAGATTGAAGAATATCTATGATATTCTTCACTTGAATCTCCAGTATCGAATTGGTAAGGTTATGTGTTTTACAGTTAATCAGATAAAGTAACAAGCTGTTTTGAATCAAACGTAATAATTATTCTATCTTCATTAAGGTTATAATTGAACGTACGATAGAATTGAATCAGACTAGAAAATGTTTTTTACCATTCCAGAATTGCTCTAGCGCCTTATTTTATTCAGTTGATCAAATACGGGACTGGTCATGTTATTCTACGTCGCACCGCCGCCTTGTTCTCATCCCGTTTGACGACTACTTCTTCGATCTTGTAAACGAAATAAACGCTTAGCCTATGTAAAGGAGACGAGCACGATCTGTATGTACGACAAACAGTGAATGTAGCTGATTCAGCTGATGCAGCTCGGGCTGACCTTTAATTCAATGTTAGCCCCGGCTATCGTACTCAATATGCATCACACCGCGATATCGTCATGTCGTGCACAAACCAGCCGTTTTATGTTATATCTAGGCCACTTGACTAACCGACCATACCAGTACACAACTAGCCTTCATGTCTAGAAGAAAATCGGCCTCTA